GGGATGTGACGGCACTCCCTCTGAGGACCAATTCGGTGGACGTCTTCATCACAGACCTGCCGTTCGGGAAGCGCTTGGGTTCCAAACACGACAATAAGACACTCTACCCGTCGCTTCTGCGGCAACTTAGCCGATGCTGTCGTGTGGGCTCCGGAAGAATGGTTCTCTTGACTCAAGACAAGCGAAATATGAACTATTCGTTGGCGAACCCGGAGATCAAGAAGTATTGGAAGACATTCCGCACGCTATTCGTCCGCATCGGAGGTCTCGACGCATCCCTATATTGCCTGAAACGGAGGTCTTTGCCATTCAGCGAATGAGACCATCGATGGGATCATTCATTCGCTCGCATCTCACCGCTAATTATCACTCAATCGACACTCAAATACGTCTTTCAAACGCCAAACTTAAAAGTGGGCAAAACTTTTGTACCAAAAAAACTAATATAACATTGAAATGAATACGAAATTAAACGACAATTTGTTAAACCAAATGAAAAAACACTCATTCATTCAAAACCCGATTAAAAAACTTGTTTTTCGCCTCAAAACTAACGCAATAACGAAACAAACGATTAAATCAATCAAACATTTTATTCATTAATTATCTTTTAAATACAAATCGATGTCCACCGCCAGACACACCCACACACCTCCCTCTTAAGCGATCAGCTCGTAGGGGATGGGCTGCAGGTTCTGGGGTTTGTTAACTTTGGTGATGCGGATGAAGTGGGCGCCCCTCGGCTGGCGGGCCTCGCGCTTCACATTCACCTTAACGCCCGTCTTCTTCGCCTCCTTCTTGAGCGCCTCATTCCTCTTCACTCTCTCCAAGAAGTCCTGTCGGCAGGTGGAGTGCGACACGTGCTCCACGCGAACGTTGATCTTCTTGGCAATGATCCGGTTCCTCACGCGCTTATTGACCACCACTCCCACGGCGTGTTTGGTCACGTTGTACACGCGGCCCGTCTTGCCGTGATAGTACTTGTAGGGCATACCCTTCTGGAAGGCGCCATTGCCCTTCACGTCCACGATGTCACCCCTCCTGTAGACCTTGAGGAATGTGGACAAGTGCTCGACGCCGTGCCGTTTGAAGGCGCGCGCAAACATGTAGCGCGTGCCGCGACGGATACCCTTCGGGTTTACCATGTCTAGTAGTGTGGATGGAGGGGAGGGAACAGTTGGGATCAGTTGGTGGTCATGAAAGAGTGGTGTGATTAGCACTTACTCGTGAGTCGTGTGGTGTTTGTGTGTTGAGTGTCGACCGGAAAAGGATGTGTTCAGTGCTTGTGATGGTAGTGGTGTCGGACAATGAATTACGTGTGCGTTTGGGTTATGATAGCATTGTATTTGCGTAGGGGTGGGGGGGCTGTCGGATGTAAATGACTGTAACAGCATATACTGATTGGTCGCCCGCTTTCACTGTACGCTCTCTATTCACAAACGACGTACTCATGGGAGGGGTGGTGGCTATGCTTGTATGGGTTGCCATTGACGACCACAGTGTTTGCGAAGGACTCCCTTTCACTCTTCGCACACAAAACAAGACAACTCTTCGCACTCTTCGGCCGTCCATCGGATCCCGTCATCCGCTGTCAGCCACCGATTGTGGGCCACAATCAGACACACGACAAGACACGCGCGGAAACGCCACCGAAATCCTGAACCTGTTGTCAGTATTAGTGAGCGAATGGTTTGACGCCAAGAAGTGCGGCCCGAAGACGACGACCACTTCCTCCACACCGTCCGCAGCGATGGTTCGCAGCCGTAAAGAGCGTAACGATCGCCGCGTCGACCGCTTTGGACACCAGAGGTATCGACTGCATCACAGCGACAGGTATGGCGCCGGTGACAGACACTCGTCGATCGGCACCGATGGACACCATTCCTCGCGCAAGAGGTCGCACCACAAGAGTCGCCGCCATTACGAGAAGTACAGGTCTAGGAGTATATTGCGGGTGAGTTACCACCGATGACACGCTTATTATGGTGTCTGCGGTCTCTACTGCCTCCAGACATATGTTAGAAGTCGCCGCCATTACGAGAAGTACAGGTCTAGGAGTATATTGCGGGTGAGTTACCACCGATGACACGCTTATTATGGTGTCTGCGGTCTCTACTGCCTCCAGACATATGTTAGACTATGTGTTGTTGTAGTCGTGTCTGCAATTGGTTACGGAGTCTCCTATGGACTCAATTGCATCGCAATTATCATATGATATGCTATTATTTGACAATATGTTTGCCAAACAAAGTGATTGTCTCTCACAGACACCACTCCTTTACGCGTCACTTAACGAGAAGAGCTATTGTTTCAATTGATCCCAACGTTCATACTATAAGTGTTTGTGTTTTTTGAAGTGGTTTTCTATTACTTCTTGAGTTTAATTCAAAAGATTAATACATTTGAGGCGAAGAATAAACAAGAATTGAAGCATTTTTTTGTCCATTTCTTACGAGTCTATGATATATCGTTGCAAACAAGCATTGAATTCAATATCAGATCATACGATATGTGTTTCTATTATATAGAGTTTGTGTGCTTTTTAAACACAAGTTTTTTATTTATATATAATTTTTTCTGTCTGTTGCCATCACTTATGAGGAATGCCTTCCAATCACTGGATTTGGCAAAAGAACACAAAACTCTATTTATAGCTCGGATTTCAAAAGGATTTATAGTTTATGGTGAGAATGAGTGCTGTTTGGCAACGGATCGCATCTCAAGTCTATACAGACTCTCTCGCAGTCTCTCTCTCTCTCTCTCTCTCCCTTTCCATCGCAACGAAACGTGAGGTTGAGATGTGTTTCTTAGAGTTTACATTAGAGTTAAAACAGATATTTAGTCATAAATTTTGTGTCCAAACACTTCGCACAGCAATTGTTGCGATGAATTGTACGCAAAAACACGAACTCCTCACGAGTTAACTAACCCTTCATTCAGTTTTGTGTGTGTTTTCTCAGTCAGAGTCACAGAAATACTAAGCAATGACTCCTAGTTTGATGTCTTATTTTTACTGCCGATTGCAACGGCTATGGGAAAGGGATGACTGATTCATAAGTCACAACCTCTTTGTTTAG